GGTAGCTTTATTTGTTTCATAAAAAGCCTTTATTTTCGTTTAAATTTTAATATTTGATTTTTATTGTGAATTGAGAAACCCTGTTTGTGCTTATACCTTTACTTGCTTATACTCTGCAGACATAGTTGAGGAGAATAACTCTAATATATTGTCATCAAGCTCATGGGGAATACTAAGAATAACTTACTCTCAACAGATCTTGCCCATTCTGCTGAAAAGTCAAGTGATAAATTCAATATACGGTAAGAGTAATTCCTCATATTCTTATAAGTTTCATAAAAAATCAAATTATAACTTCTTAGGCTCAATTTAGATTTGTTTTTATTTTTCTTCATTAACATTTTGCTGGTTTGGGGAAGTGCAGAAGACCAGTAAGTTATACATTTTATATTTCCCTTCACTTAGTTCATGGTATCTTGTTGCTGATGTTGCAATTGATTTACCTTATTATTATAAGATAATATATTGTGTCTTTGTTAACCATTGAAAAATGTAAAAGTTTACAAACACCAGCATTTTGAAGTCATACATAGACTTTGAAGATAATATATCATAAAGAATCAAATGTTCAGTGAGGCCAAAATATACTTTTTGCATAAAAGCATCGCAGTTATAATAGCAGGCCATTACGGCAATATAGTGGAATAGTAAAGCGGAGCGACCACAAGCCACTACAAAATTTGAATAGGAAAGCATTTTTAAATACATTTTTGCCCTAAAAAACAGTATTTTGGGAGATTTTTTACTTTTATTATTATTTACTTGTCTGTTTTGTCTGAAAAACTTGTGTGTTTTGTTTGAAAGTTATGAAAGTCATGAATTTTGGTTATAAATATGTAGTATACATTATTTAATTTGTATGTAAAATTTCTAAATAGCAGTAAATTGATACGCGTCAATATCTGAGACTGACATCTATCAAAAAGATCTAACTTGACATTTTTTGAGGGAGTCATAATCTTATCATATCTTTATTATTAATGCAGTGGTTTTGTGGCTGGCGTTCGCAAAAAAGACTGGAAATTATGCTCACCATTTTCAATAAATTGTGATTCTGCGGAGGAACCATCACTTCCACCACTGGATGTGTCAAGCTCCAGAAAAAGGTTTTGTCAGAAGATTAAAACAGAAGCTGATGCCGAACTCATTGTTGAAAATTACCCAAATGACTTTGGTAATGGAACTCAAGAAACTCCAATGCCGAACCGTATTCTTGCAAAAAGAGAAATTGATCTTAACGAACCTGCTGAGCTGATCAGCAACAGTGATGGCAAAGATTGGTCATTCATTAGTAAAAATGAGCAAAATGACTTTAGTAATGGAATTCAAGAAACTCCAATGCCTAACAGTATGCTTGCAAGAAGAGAAATTGATCTTAACAAGCCTGTTGAGCTGATTAGTGACAGTAATGACAATGACAGTAATGAAATGACAAATGATGCTGAAGTTGTAGTCAAAGCAGGTAACTTTAAGAACGCTTCAATAAGAGTATTTTGTTTACTAATTTAAAATATGTCCTTTGTTTGTCTCTGTTTTCTCCAGACAATGAGACTAGCTTGGAGGTTAATCTCAACCATGAAGCACTGAATGTTCCATTATTAGAAGTGTGTTCAAGCCTCTTACAAGAAGTGCATGCAAATGCAAGAGGTAGGTCATTTGATTCAAATGTGTAGAATGTATCACAGGTATGCAGCAATGACTTGTATTGTAGTGACAAGTTTTTGTAAATTATAATAATTTCAGTGTTCCAAACTCCAATGACACTGCCAACTATCCTGGAGAAGGCAGTTGCGGAAGGAGACACGAAGATGCTTGACATGCTGCTTGAAGAATCATTAGCACAGACGGGGGCAGAAAATATGTCATATTTACCAGTATCCATTGCAATTCCTTCGGCACATGTTAGCAACAACAGAAGTTCCCATCGACCAAAATCTCAGCTTATAGGAACAGGAAGTGAAACCAATTTCAAATACCAAAGCACTCCTTCCAAGCACATAACAAATGCTACTTCTGGAAAAGGAAAAGGAGTTCTTATTGAAGTAAGTACAATGAAAATCCCTTTTTTAAAGTCTTTAGAATATAACTTCCATCACTAGAAAATGGTGTATTTCCTTGTTTTTCATTTTATTTTTTAACATGAAGAGGAGCATCGTGTTGATTTGTTGCTGAGCTGGAATTTAGTTGTCTCAATTTGATTCCAGTTCCCTGCCTATAGCTTTCATTTTATGACAATTTTGTTGTGTCAACAAACCAGATCTTAGTGTTTTGATCAATTATGTACTATAGTAGTTGATTGAAAATTTTTTAATGTGAACTATTTTGACTTCTTGAACCATAATTTGAAATGCTTAGCTAGCTGCATATTGAGCTACTTTGCAGATTAATCTAATTCTTCATAATAGTAAAGTTCATCCCATGCTTAGCTAGCTGCCTATAGCTTTTATGCATGCTGCTATAAAGGAGAAATATTAAGTTAGCTGCATGTTAATGGCTAATTAGCTTTTGTAATTGACCAGATAGAGGAGAAGATATTATATTTATATATTCTAAAAGCACTTGTCTTTCTGAGTTTCTCAGTTGGCAGTGAAGTTCTTAAATCAAAAACTTCCATTGCATGAATGTTTTCTTGAGACAGGCTGTTTGGTTTAGAAATTATTTTCTGCTTTTATTTCTAGTTTTAATTGTGAAAATAAGGTGACAGTTTTTCATTAAAACAGAAAAACATAAAATGAAAATAGAAAAGATTTTTTGACAGTTGTGTGGTTTCAAGAAATGTTTTCTGTTTTCAAAGATTTTTAAAGGAAATACTGACAATAATTTTTTTTTCTGTTTTCATTGTTTCCTAATTCCTATACAAATCTTAGAAAACAGGAAACATAATGAAAACAAGGTAATAGTTTTGTAATTAAAAGTGAAAGTAGAACATTTCCAAAAACCAAATAGACAAATTTAATAGAAAACATGTTTCCAAGATAATAAACATTTTCTTCTTGCAGGAAATTGATGAGGCCACATACAAGGACATCACTGCTGAAGCAGTGGAGCAAGGTAGCATGAAAAGTTCACATGATCCGACAGCAAAGGATAAGGAGTCTGGTAAGGTCTCGGCAGATGATGCAATCATGGAAGCTGCAGAAACATTGACATTTTATCTACGTAATGAGGAAATGTAAACCATTTTCTGAAACACACCTCCTAGAAGGCAAAACCTAAGATACATGGACCTTTTTATTCATTAAGTTGCATCAAGACTACATGATAATGAATTGTGAATTTGGATAAACCAGAGACATCCGAATTCCAAGTTGAAATGTCTAGTTTACTGCTGCTAATTTTATGTACCTGTCTATCTGCTTGTGCTAATTCTTCCTGCAACTCAGCTAGATCCTTTTTCATGGGGCCTACTTCTGGTTTCATTTGATGGTTTGAATATAGGTAGCATAATATCCACTTGCAAACCACATTGTTGTCATAAAAACTACATACAGATTTTAGAAGCTCGCCAATAAATAGTAAATCACCCTACTCTAGTATTGACAAAGATACACCAGGAGTGTACCCACACTTTGCAGCAAAAGATTATTTGCTTACCATAAACCTTTTTGTCCTGTGCATCAAGAGATATTTCTTGCATCATCCAAGCCCCATTTGCAGATAACAAAAGTTGTACACAAAAAAATGATAAAAAATAGATCAATTTCACTTTAAATCCCAATAATGGACCAGTCATAAGCAAGGCAATAAACCATTCAGACTAGAAGGTTGATAGAAAATAGCAAAAATGGAAGGGAAAAATTTTTAATAGAAAATTTACGACATTCTCAATGAAATCCCACCTTGCATTTTTCAACCATGTTTTCAATACAAGTATTATTACTTCCTTAATATCTAGAACTTTTCTGATATATAATATAACAATATCAAGCATTTCTTTCGCTGGTTTTGGGGCCATAAAGTGCCGTGTCTTGTTTATATAGTGAAGGTGAAAAAAATCTCACTCTAGGGTGAATCTCAGTAGGGGCAAACTTACTTCTGTAGAATCATCCAGCATGGCTCAAAGAAATAGAATTTATGATGGAATTCTATTATAATTTTGTCTATTGTTTTTGTCCAATCAAAGTTATCATGATGGAATTGGAATCTCTATATCCCATGAAACTAGAATCTATCAATTATGAAGAACAAATAACAACAAAAGGTAAAATGTTGGAAATTTGACAAAGAAGTAGAATTATATATGTTATTTTCAGCTACGGAGATGTATGTGGTTGGCTTTAGTTTTATGACTTGAGTTTTGGGCTAATACGGATGACAATGAAAAGTGGGGAGAATATGCCTACTGAATTGACGACTTATGTTTGACTCACCACATCACTTTCCTACAAAAGTTTAAAATACGAGTAGCATTCTTAATCACAACTTTCATTCAAGACTTCAAGTTTCTTATCTTATATTTTACACAAGTTTACTGTTTTCTCATTTTCCATAAAAAATGGATGAATATCAGGTTGAGATTGAGAAATTCAGAATTTGTGTTTGACTTTCAATTTGATTGTAAAACAATGTCAATGCATATTGTTGGTACCAGGACAGTCATCATTAAATTGCCCCAGTTCAGAAATCAAATCCCAAGCATGTTCTATATTCCTGCAAAATGCACTTGTAACAACTATCCAAACTATTTTCTGTGATCTTGAAATAATTACCACAACATGAGTCAAAAAGAGGGGTGGGTAGATTAAAATTGAGAATGACAGACAAAAAGTTGAAGATAGCATTTTTGTCATTTTGGGTCGAGACCTGCATTTTAGGCAGAGGGGATGGGAAATGGAAAAGACACCAACATAGTTGTTTGCTTTAACTACTCATTGAAGACTGAATCTAAAACTTCATAATCATTGATGCACAGTCAGTGCATATGGTAGACACAAGTATGCCACATACGTATTATTCAATTTGACATTCTTCTATATAAAAAGGATATTATTGAGTTTCCCAGGCTTAAACATAATCATCCAAATAAATATACCAATTTCCTATCTCTACACAGGTAATTATTACCCTATCCAAAGTAATCCCACCTGGAGGTAACCCAGGCTTCTACAGGGTTGTCTAATGACAAGCAATCCCAAATAAGTAAATTACCAGGAGATAAGCCAGGCTACATTTTTCAAACTGCTGCATGATACTCATCTATAGTTTGCTTCATTGCATCCAACTGCGACATAATAAATTCAGCTTTCTTACAACAAATCTCATTGGCTATTCTTGAACCATAGTCACATTTCTCAAATGGACGATATTCACAAGCACTTTTGATTTCATCACGCAACGCCACCTGAATGTCCTACAAGATATATACAGAAAAGAAATGAAGTTAAAAAGCTCTACAAAATTACACCACAGGTTTCACCATCAAATTCATGATGATGATCCCAAATAAGAAACAGAGTTAGCTGATCGTGATTTCACTGCTTTGTCTACTTATAGAAATTCATAGCATCATTTTCGTAATTTAATCTGTATAACCAAACTTGGTGATAGCGATAGTTCTACACTCATATTTCAACACTTACTACCACATTAACCAACCATTACTCTTTCTTGCTAAATTTCAATGAACAGTTCCAAACACAAAACTCAGTTTTCTAAAGGTGACTATCATAAATAAATTTTATTCAGAAGTACCTATTCACCAATTACCCAGACTAGACTAGTATCTGTTATTTAAGGGAGCTAGCATTAGTTATTGATCAAGTTAGAATTCTAAAAGAATTTGGCAAATATAAGTGATTAAGAGATAGGAAGAGAAAGATTACAGGTATGTTGTTTAGTTAGGGATTGGTTATGGATCTTGCAATCCTGAGAGCAACAACTTGTATTCATTCTTTCTGTTCCTAACCAGAGTTAACCATTGGCATAAGGGAGATTTCATGAACAAAATCCAATCTTTTATTTCATTCTTCCACTACTTTCTGAAACAGTACCTAACACAAGATTAATTTATAGTTCATAAAATATTGTTATCCAATGCCTGGTGTTCATATTATACAACGTTAATTATTTTAATACTACCTCCAGTCCTATTTGTAAGAAACAACTGCCAAAATTTTTTTGTTCTAAATTCTAATTATAAGAAACAAAGGCTTATTTTCAAATGAATTAATTGTTAAATTTCTTTTATGCCCTTAATTTATTATAAAATTATGTTAACTAAGCACTCACCTATTTCCAATGCAAGCCACTGGCTTAGTCATTTAATATGATAGACATTTTTGGAATAACGTTAATATTTATAGTGTGTAACTGTTTTTATTGGTCTTGATGAAGTAGTTGCTTGTTTCTTATAAATAGGAACAAAGGTAGTATGTAGTTATACTAGTGCAGTCTTGCTAGTGTATGCTCTGTCTGGGACTTGAATCATATACATGTATAGACAAAACAATAAATCAATTTCTGAGAGACAAGGACCTTGATTAACTGCATAAACTCGAGGCAGTGGTTTTGGACTACATCTTTCCTAGGACCAACAGGGCTTGCAAGCTCATCCATGACTCCTCCTGCAAGCTCCAAAACCTTCACAATTCTCTACAAGACCAGCAAAAAGGAAAAAAAGAATCAATCAAAACAAACTACGCTGTTCTGTACTCCCGGGATTTGCTTGTAAATGCTTTCAAAATATTACCTTTTCTACATTTTGAAGTCTCTGCAAAGAAGTTGTCTGGCCCTGTGAATCCATGGATGTTGCTTCCTTGTGTTCCTTCTCTAACACAAGTCTCTACAATAAATTATTATTTAGACAGAAAAATGAACTAAGAATTGAGAAAAATAAAATGCACAATTAACAGTTTCATACTCACATAAAAGTGCATAAAAAGAGTTGGGAAGCATCGAATGGTAAGGGTTTATTAGTTTAGAGCTTTTCTTTAAAAATAAGAACTACTGATAAATTAAGATTATTCACATCAAGGTCCAGAGTGTTAGGAGCAAATAAAGAGAATTGTATTCCTAAGGGGGGTGGGGAATTGTGCAGATGAAAAGAAATGGCAATTAAAGAGATGAAAACTAAGAAGGCACACATGATAATCCAACGAAACTGAATTTGAAGTAGTAATTTGAAAAAAAAAACTGATAGTTTGATAAGAAGCACAATGTTAAATGGTCATCTTATTCTCACAAGTCCAGCACCAAAACCAAATGATTTTATAAACCCTAAACCAAATGCCCACTGTATCAATGGTGTATACATCCCTGCTCACTTAAGAGGAGAATTGTCCCTTCTCCATTTTGCATGACATGTACGCTATGATGTCTAGGTATGAGTACAAGTATTTGTACCGGTACAATCCTCCAGCAGTAGGGCAACCACAGACAGCTGGAATTAGGGAACCAAATTCACATTGTCATTGTATGATTTGGCAATTTAAGTATGTTTTTAACTTATTGTACTCTACTTCATTGCCATAGCTTTTTAAATATTATTTATGCATGAAGAAAACTCTTACAAATTTACAATTTGTGTTAACAAACATTCTACGAGTTTACATAAATTCTCAAGTTTGACAGCCTTGTCACAAAGGGCAGGGGCAACCGTGGGCGTTCTGCTGGGCTTCCTGGCAAGTGCCCAATGTGATCCTCAATCTCAAGGTAATCTCCAAAGTGTTGCAATTCTTACAGTCAGCTACCAACAAGAACAGTAAAGATATACAAAGGCCATTTCATACATGCCCACAGCCTCAAATGCACGTGCCTTTCAAAGGAAAGTCCAGACAAATCAATGCTGGAACTGAATTCAACAATCACAGCCTCAAATGCATCAAACACGAGTCCTATTGCTATGAAAAACGGCTAAGTCAGGGTGTGTTTTCAAAGAGCACCATTTCCACACTGTTCAAGAACATCCACATAGTCCCTATTCTGAAATCTCCCGTTCTCGTATTCTTTCATCTCATGCACTTTCTTAAAAAGAAATAACAAATCGAATTCCACCGCACCATTAACCGTGAGAATTGAACCTAGACTATCAACGGCATCTAGGTTTAAACCATTTCCCCATATTATCATCCCTTTCACACGCAATTAGTTATCTAAATCTAAACAAATCAAAATCAACACAAAACGAAAAAACAGTAATAGCGAAACAATTAGTTATCTAAGAGCGAAGTTTGATTTGAAAAATACCAATGCACTGAAGCCTGCGAAGAAGTGACGGAGTTATGGAACAACGAAATGGAACACTGAGACAGAGCTTCTGCTAGCGATTGCGAATTTCACTAAACAAATTCAGCTCATTTGCTGCGAAGAGGGAAGATTAGGATTATGGGCTGGCCTCACCTGGGGATGAACATGGTTCAATTTTAGGGGAAAAAAATGAAAATGGTTTTTTTTTAACTCAAACTTTTGTTTTCTTTTTTTCTTTTTGTTTTTTCTGCAAAATCGATTTGAATTATTTGTAAACCGGTGCAGAATTAATTTTAGAATCGGATCAGAGAATTAATATATAATAAATTCTAATTAAAAACTATATTAAAATATATTGAAAATTGTGAAAGTTAGTATTTATGTTTTTAATAAAATATTTTATTTTTCTAATAAGTGTTATTAGGGTAAAAATTAATTTTATTTGTAAATAAATTATGAAATTTTTTGCATAATAATATATAATTTTTAGAAAAAAAATAATCTTATTCAAATTAAGAATATTTATGTTACGGATTTGAACTTAAGATTTGATTAAAGAGAAAAAAAAAATATATATATATATATACACCACTTGAAATTATTTTTATTGATAAATAAATAAATTTTGAAGCAAAAATTAGTTTCAAAACTGGTTTTCCTTTTGTAAAAATAAAATAAAATCATTTTTATAACTTTTTTTTAAGAACCAGTTTAAAAACTGGATTTAAACCCTTCTCAAGTGCTAATTTGCCTAGCCTTGAAGTATATTTACCATCGAATTGAGTATGTAATAATCGGGAAGCAAGATAATAGTACAAAAAAAAAAAAGGAGAAAATAAAATTTAAGGGCATGTTTATTTTGAGAAATATTTTTTCATTTCATTTTTGTTTTTTTATTATACATTTGTAACCTTATTTTTATTTTATTTTTAAAATTTATATCAGAAAGAAAAAAATTATTTTTTTAATTTTTTACAAATATTTAAAAATATATATATATAATCAAGACAATATATTTTAAAAAAAAAAAACACTAAATAGCCCCTAAACCTTTACGCTCGTATTATTACAGGTAAAATAGAGGATATTGAAAAAAAAGAAGTTAATTTAATTTTTTTTCATTTTTTTAGAATAAATAGTAATTGAATTTGAACAATTTTTGTGAAATACATTAAATTATATTTTCGATGGAGCGGACAGCAGTACTTAGATATGAGAGGGGTAAATGTTGGTTTTTTTTTTATGTTTTTTTATATTTTTATTGTAAAATGAAATTTTACGAAATAAAAATTTTGTAATCCCTTTTTTTTATAAACAGTAATCGAGTCAAAATTAACTCTGAGAAGGCCCAAAGCAAAGCTCCAAAAATTAGCAGTGAGCAGCATAAGTGTTTTTTGTTTTTTAATTATTACTAAAAGATCATCTAATTAGAAACGACACTTACAAATTGTTTTAAAAAAATCATCTAATTAAACAATACTTACAAATTAAAAATATTAAAATATTAGAGCGTTAGAATAATACACGATAAATCAGAAAAAATATTGACCGTAAAAAATATATATCAGAAAAAATCAGACGTACATATTCAAATTTTAAAGTCTAACAATCTTAAAAAATCTAAATAAAAAAAAAGCTGAAACAAATCCCTAAAAAAAAATAAAAGACTCTTTGCAAAAACACCTTAACAGAGTCATAGAGAATATAATTTATATATACCTTTTTTTTTTGTCAAGTATAATAGTTTGACTATTAATAGCTTTTTTTTTTTATCCACTACTATAAATAGCTATTTTATGGGTCAAAAAATAGCTTTTGACTTTCTGAATTTATATAAAATCGATGGATTCATATTTTGCACTGTTAATGACTAAAAATAAAATTTTTTGCACTGTTGAATTGCTTGATGCTTTGACAAAAAACAAATTGGTTGATTCTTCGGCCTTTGATAGTATTATTAATATTTTAATAATACTAAAATAAGATGAGTTTGTTAAAAATAATATGTGGCTTGATTTGGTAAAAGCTAGAGTAGGAATTAGTGAAGCCTATTTTTAGGGATTTTTTAAAATTTATGTGTGGTAAAAAATGAGTTTTTAATTTTTATAAATAAAATTATTTTTTATGTTTTAAAGAAAATATTGTGAAAGAATATAAAAAATAAAAACATTCTTGAATGTTTCATCGGTAAGAGAAAAATAGTGTTTGAATGAAAATTTTATGAGTATAATTTTAAGTTTAAACATAATATATTTTAAATATACTTTAGCTATATAACACTACTATTATAATAGAAGGAAATCTCATTTAAATTTTTTTATTTAAATTATTATTTAATAGAAAGAATTATTCAGTTGTTGACATATTTCTTTCTATTTACTTTGAATACGTTTTTTTTATTTGCATTAAGTTGTTTACATATTTAGAGTATATTTAAATTAATAAACTATTAACTTCACATATTTCTTTCGCATGTCAAAGAAAAAAATATATTCATATTTATACGTAGGCAAACAGTTATGGATGAACTTTTTGTTATTTTATAATAAATGGATTGAAAACATTTATTGATTTAGATTTACTGCATGTTAATAATATATTAAAATTTCATTTATAATTCATTCATTTAAATTATCTATTTGTTAATAATTTATTATGAATGCACATCTAACTCATCCGTTTAAAAATATATTACATTTTAAAAATTATTTTTCCTTTTTTTATAATTTAAAAATTGAAAATAGAATACATGTTTGAATGAGTAATAATTAGATTTAATTATCTACATGCAATGAATGTTGGATACTAATTCTTAATTAAGCTAATCTTTTTCTTAGAAAATCGATAATCTATCAAATAAGAAAAAGTTGACGTTTATAATTTCATGAGTCATTTGTTACCTCTTATTTAATTAAAAGCAATAAAATCATAATTAATTTTTTAATTTATGATATCAAAATTGAAACTAGTAAAAAAATATATGAAACACTAATAGAAATTGATCCGATTGATAAGTAGCTTAATATCACTTAAGTAAAATTTAAGATTAAATTAAATAAATTTAACTAATAAATAGCTCAATATTACTTAAGTAAAATTTTAATTAAATCAAATGAAAAAAATATGAAAAGTATTGTGTGTATGAAAATTGAAAATTGAACAAAACATTTATTATTGGTATCACTAACTCTAGAGTAAATTTATTAATAATTGATGATAAGTATACAAACTAACGTCTGTATATCAACTCTTTTTGAGAACTTGTAGTAAAATCCAGATAACTGACCCTAGAGAAAAGTAAGAGTTTGATCTCCATTTATGCATCAATTATGAAGCCGGTTTGGTCCAAGAGGAACAAGCCTGTGAGAAACTGAATGAATCTGCTTGAACTTGTTCTTCTTCCTTGAATTCAAAGAGGAGAGAATAGATGAACATCTTTGCATAAACATGGAAGAAAACTTGATTTCTGATCTGCTTTCTAAGTCTTCAAGGCTAGCATGTTTGACCAAACGACATGTTGAACCCTGCATTGCTGACAACACAATCATGAGAAGGATAAAACAAATTTTGGGTTTTGGAACTCTCATGATTGTGATGGATTATGCAAGGAGCTAGGAATAATATGAGTGATGAAATGCAGTGCCTTGAAGAATATATATAGGCAGCTTCTAGATGAAATTCTACAAGAAAAAAAATTATAAAAATAAATGTTATTTTTCAAGTTAAAAGTAATTTATTTTTTAATTTTTTTGAAAAGCATAAATTATTTATATTTTACAATAAAAGTTTTATTTATTTTTTATACTAATTTTTTCCTATAAACATTTATTTAGAAGTTTATGAAAACAGGACTTAGGCCTAATTTGTGAAAATTTTTAGAGAAACTTTTGCAGAATAAAAAATAAATAACTTTTTTCTTATAAATTAAATCTATTTTTTTAAACAAATTATCTCATTTAACCTTTTTAAAATACAAATAAATAGAATTTTTTATTTAAAAGAGGAATTTTATTATTTTTTATATTAATTTATTTAAAAAATTTAAAGTTTATCCAAAGATGCTGCAGCATGTAGCAAGGGATATTGAACAACTTTCACATAAAATATGCTCGAATAAATTTAAATTATTTTGCATGTATGATTGATGTTCGGCGCATTTCATGGACAATTAAGTGGACGTGTAGAGCGGAAAACAAAATCATTAATTAATAGGCCTCCATTTAATGTATATATAAAAATAAAAGTAACGATTGATATTCCATTGAATATTATATTTATTAAATAGATAAGCATCTACGGTAAAATTAATTTTACGCTCTAATTAATATCATATTGATTGTTAAACGTATTAAATCCAATATATATGCAATTAAAATAATATAAATAAAACAATTATCTTTATTTAAATTACATATATTTTTTATTGGAGATAATTTTTTTAAGTAGAATAGGACTACTATGAACAACAAAAAAAGATTCAAAATATTTAAGACAGCTGTATTTGGTGCTAACTATATTTATTAAATATAATATATTTATAATAATTATTATTATTTATTAAAAGGTGATAACTAGCTACAATTAAAAAAATTATATATTTTTTATATTAAAATTTATAGTTATATTTACTTCCTAGTTACTAAAAAATAATATTATGAAATTTAATAAAGAAATAAAAATAAATGATATATACATAGAAAGACAAACTTTATTCTTACTTGTGTAAACGAAAATTAATTTATAATTATCTATACATAAAATGGTATAATTAATTACACTTTTTAATTAATATTTCATTAAAACTATATTTATTAAATACATAAAACAAGAAACTAAATAATATAATTATCTAGCTATTTTTATGAAATATAATATATTTATAATAATAATTATTTACTACCAAAGTGCTGTCTGGCTATTATTTAAAACTCTATTTATTTATATTCAAATTCATAGTTATTAAAATAAGTATATTTTAAAAAATTAATAAAAAAATAGTGGGAAGTAAGTAATAAGTTTTATTTCTTCGAAAAAGTTAATTCCGCTAAAAAATTAATATTTATATTTTTTTTCTTTTGAACTTTTGTTAATTTTTTTCTTAATTTTCTTCATTCTTTTAGTCCATCCATCATTTATGCTTTTATAACCTTCCATCGACAAGAATTTTCTTTGTTCATTTTTTTGTTGTTGAATTTTTTGGTTATGTAATGAAGAGAGATA